GTCCTTTTCCGTCTGCTTTGTCGTCGGTGCCTGCCGGTATTGCCTACACCACGTCTTGTTTTGGGTCTATCGTCTTTAGTCGAGAGCCACGTTTTCGGTGTCGGTGGTGCCCGGGGCTCCACGCCATGGCTTCTTTCGGTGGCCGCGACTCTTCCACCGGTATGTAGCTGCTGCAACAAGAGACCTTTCCCTCCCTGAACTGTGTTGGTGGCATCCCTGAAACCGTAGGCGGTACCCTCGCAACCCCCCCCCCTCACACCTCCGACACTGACTACTCCCATTGTTGTCGTCTTTCTTGTTGTTGTTTGCCCCCACGTTGATTACTTGTTGTGGTCCTGGTCTGGTCTGCATGCCCTCATAGACCCACCGTCCGGAAATCCCTCCCGCTGATTTACTCCTATTGTTGTTGTTGTTGTTGTTGTTTGCCCCGACATCGATTGCTTGTTGGCGCCCTGGTCTGGCCTGCGTGCCCTCAGGTCCACTGCCCGGACAAGACACCCCCGGGCCTGGTAGACCGCGTCCGCAAGGCCCTCGACGAGCGCAGCCTGAAGGGAGTCGTCGACCGCTCCGCGGTGTGGAGCAAGACGGCGGCGAAGGCGTACGCTCGCCTCGCGTGTGGGTGAGTCGGTTCTCCCTCGTCCTCACGCCTCCGCTTTTTTTTTTCTCCTTCGTTCTGTTGTTGTTCTCCGGTGTAGATGCTGCTTGTGTTCCTTCTCTGTGTGCGTGATAGTTTCACCGTGGTAGATTCGCGGGGGTGGTGACGGGGGGGGCCGTGGTGCTATCCGACATGATATCTCTTCTCGCGTGGTATCTAAGGTGTAGTCCGTGCGATTGGCCCTAGTTTTTGCCCTTGAGAGTGTATCGCCTTTTTGTGGTGTACTGCTGTGCAACCTACGGTATAAACACCATGTCGTCGCTACTACTTTGTGCTTGAGGACTATTTTCTTGGTCTGCGCGTTCCGCCACCCTCTTGTTCCCACGGGCTCCCCGCCCGTTTAACAATGCCTTGTTTCCAAACAAACGATGCTCGGGCGGCCAACAGGTGCTGCGCGGAGGCCCCCGGCACTCGCCCTACTCTCCGCGAGGTGTCGGAGAAGGTCAAGGCCATCCAGGAGACGGGCCAACGGAACGCGAGCGGGGGCGGGGAGCAGCACGCCGCCGCGGCGGGCCTGTCCTCCTCGGATGCGATGTCCCGCTCGCTGGCGACGACCGCGGCCGCGACGGACCAGTCTTCTGCTGCTGCTTCTGCTGCAGCTGGCGCTGGCGCTTCTACCCAGCAGGACCAAGGGGACGACCTTCTCGGCCTCTTCGACCACGTGCAGACAAGTAGTAAGCCCGTCGGTGCCGGCGGCGGCGGCGCTACGAAGTCGTCGCAACAACAGCAGCAGCAGCAGCGGACGCCCACGCGCCGGCCGCCGCCGCCGCCGCCCCCGTACGACACGGCCATCCAGAACTCTTCCCCGAAGAGGGCCACGACCGTGCCGCCGCCGGCAAAACAGCCCCCGCCCTACCGCGAGGCGCTGGCCGCTCGGCACGAGGGTCCCCTGCTGGCGATCGACGGCGACGATGGGGTGGTGGAAGAGAAGGCGGCGGGGGGCGGTGAGCTGGTGGATCTCGGGCAGGACTTCAGCCGACAGATTAGCGCCAGCAGCGGGGAGAGCGGTGGTGGCGCCGGGAACAACTCCGGAGGAGGCGCGGCGGCTGGGACAAGAGAGTGGTGGGCCGCGTCGTCTAGCTCAGCCAAGCCGTACTCGGGAGCGGCGGCGCCGGCACCGTCCGGAAGAAATCCAGCGACGACGATGGACCCCTCGTTGGGGTCTATCGGTGGCGGCGGCGGCGGCGGCCGGGGCGGCGGTGGTAGCACCGGGAGTGCGCTCAGCGACCTGGGAGGGGGAGGAGGAGCGGCGACCGGCGGTGGCGGCGGCGTCGGCAGCAGCAGCAGCAGCAGCAGCAAGAACGATTCCTCCATCTCGTGCACGCTGTCGACGTCACTCGCCGAGTACGCTGCCGGGCTCCCGGGGGTGCTACGGGCGGCGAAGAGCGGAGGCGTATTGTCGTCTAACCCGCGCCTTCTCTGCGTCTGCAATAACAACAGCAACAACAACGGGGTCGTGAGTTCGTCGGCCGATGCTGGTGGGGCGGAAGGGGGCGGGCCGGCGGCGGGCCAACAGGACTCGGCCGGGCACGTCTCGGTCCTGGACCTCTGGCACAGGGGAAGGACGGTCAGGTACCCCGTGGCGGCGGACCGGGCCGCCATGAGCCCGAACCAGTCCGAGTCCGTGATCGCCGTGCTGGGCGGGGGAAGCCTGCACGTGTTCAGCATCCCGCGCAGGTGCAGGCTGCAGGAGCAGGCGGTCGCGACGGACCTGTGCATGTGGAGGTGGGTTTCCCAGAGCGGCAGGGGAGGTTCGGGCAGGGGGGGCACCATTGAGTACAGTCGGTCGAGTGTTCGTATCTTCCCAAGTATTACAGCTCAACAGAATTTGGGGGGGGGGGGGACGCGAAGGCACGGGAAGAGTCCAAAAGCCACAAGATCGAACGGGCATGCATCCAACGTAGTTTGTTTTTTTTGCTTCTGTTCTCGCGTGCACGACGATTTCCGTTGCAGAAACCCTGGAAGGAAAAACAAACCGTGATTCTTCTGGTTTTCGTGTCCACATGATGATCTACCTTTCGGTAACGCTCCAACCTTTTGGTGCGTTTTTTTTTTTTTGTCGCCCTTCGCTTGCCTCGTCCATCTTCCCGATGCATGCATCCACACACACACACACACACCTCTCTTCTTGGTTTCTCCTCAGATGGTTGTCCCCATGGGGTCTGGCCCTGGTGACAGACGGCGCGGTGTTTTACTGGAGCGTCTTGGACGGCTCCATGGGAGGCAACAGCCCGGAGCGCGGCGGTTCCACCGGCGGCGGCGGCGGGCTCGACCGAGATCTGTCGGGCGGGGGAGACGCAGCCGCTAACGAGAGGGAGTCAACGGCGCGTTCCCGGAGACCCAGGCAGGCGTTCGCGCGACGGCGGACGCTGACGCGGCCGGACACGCTGCACCGGGTGTACGACTACCAGCCCTCGGCGGACGGGCGGTGGGGGCTGTTGTTGGGCCCCTTCGTCGACAGCAACTGGGGGGGCGGGGGGGGGGGAGGGAGCGGCGCCCTGGGGAACGGCTACGGGAGCCACAGCAGCGGGATAGAGGGTGGCGGGGGGCCCGTGAAGGTGGACCTGCACAGCTTCGAGAGGGGCACGACGTTCGAGTTCGAGGTCCTCGGGGCGTCGCTCATAACCATGCCCGGGTCGAGCCCGCCGCTGAACCTCCTCGGCCTGGTGGTGAGGGGGGAAGGGGGCGCGACGGAGCTCCGCGTGCTGGACCTGGACCGCTCGCTGGCTCAGGCGGAGGGCGCGGAGGACCTCGAGAGGCTGGCCGAGCTGGGCGAGGGCTGGCTCATCGCCACGACCCACGTCATCGCCGACGGCGACCTGAGGGGCTCGTGCTCGTACCGCGTGGTGGGGGTCGACGGCCGGGAACGAGGGGGGTTGGGGGAGGATGCGGCGACGGGGGAGGCGCCGCCGCTCGTGTCCCCCCCCGTATTCCTGCGGCAGTGGACCGAGAACACCAACGTCGTCTTCGTGGTCGGGTGCCACGGGCTTCTGCTCGTGCTGGACGTGGTGACCGGGGCCGAGCTGGCGCGCGCGCAGGCGTGCCGGGCCCCGCTGATCGAGGCGGAGGTGGACCCGGACGTGGGGGACCTGGTGGTGGTGTCGACGGCGGACGGCGGAGGGGTGCACAGGCTGGGGGTGCGCGCGGCCGCCCTGCGAGAGAGCGTGGAGTACTACCACAAGGACCCCGAGATGGCGACCAGGGTGTCGGCCCTGACGGGGTACGCCGGCGTGAGGCCGTTGCCCCCACCCCGACGCCAGGCCTAAAATTAAATACTGAGTGATGTTTTTTTTTTTTTTAATGGTTTGATTTTGTCGCCGTTCGCGCCTCCAAAGGATCATGGTCGTGTTCTGCGCAACGCCGAAGTTGTACGTACATACGTGATGGAGGGCTGTACGTTTTTCCTGGAAACACCGCGAGAAACCAACGCCAAGAGTGACGCTTTTTTTTTGCTAGGCTAGGCTTGGCTGTTGTTCCAAGGGTGCGCCCCCCCCCCCCCCCGCGCGCTTCCGCTACTAGTGTTTGTCTGGTGTTACGGGCCGTCGCTGTATGTATGTTTCACGCACACTCAGGGGTGAGCCTCCAACACGGCCGCCTCTTCCACCCTCCGAAGCTTTTTTTAGTGCCTCCCAACTCTTTTCGTACTTTTTTTTGCGCTTTTCTTCGCTAAGCAAAGGCGGAAGGAAGACGCGGCGAAAAAAATCGTGAACAGCGAGAGCGTGACGTGTGACGAGGGAGCCTAATGTTTGTTGGGCGTGTACCTCTGATTTTGGTGTCGCTGGGGTCTTAATGTTGGTGCATGGTTTATTCGACTCTGGGCGGTCCTATTAGCGCCCTCGCCAGTGTCTTCTCGTTGTTGGAGGAAGCAGCTGAGCACTTGTTTTCTGATCGGGGCGGGGGGAGGGCCGCAAGCATGATGGATTAATTTGACATTTTTGACGACGGCTTTCGTGTCCACGCTCTAGTAGGCGACGTTTGGTCGGGCGCTTGGTTTTGCTTGGACTGGGCCTGCTGTTTTGTCGAGAGCCCCGATGCGATGCGCCAGAGCCAGGGAGGGCCGGAGAGCTGCGGAGATTGCGAGAGAGATTGTTCTCGCCATCGTCGTGTTTGGAGTTCTCCCCGCTTGTTTTTGTCTCCCTAACCGGCCGGTTTGTGGTTCGCGTGTGTTTCATCGTGTCGTTTCGGGGATCCCATGGTTAGTTTCCCCGCTCGGTTCCCATTTACGCACCTTTGGGGTGCCCGTTCGGGTGCTGTTGGCGGAGCAATCAAGGGCGAGAGCACTACTTTTCTCTTTAGAACACCCGTAGATCATATGTATACTCGGTGTGAAATCGTCGCTGGTTTTTTGTCCTCGACTTCAAATCCACGGAAATTGGATGATTTTTTTTCTCTGTTTTTTTGTTATGTAAACGAGAACAGGAGTCGGTATTGCAACGTGTATTCTACGGTTTACAGGAGAGACTTGGGCTGAACCGGGAGTGTCGCAGAGGAATCTGAGGTCTGTCGGCAGGGGGCAGGGGCGGGGGCGACCAACTCGCAGATGTGAAAATGTTAGCCGTTCGATTGCAAGCAAGCGCGCTCCTCACTTTTTGTGACGCATTTTCTCTGCTTTGCAACAACCGCTGCCGCTCGCTGCTGCTGCTGCTGCTGCCCGACAATTTCCCCCCGCATTCCGTTCCCGAGCACTACTACATTGTATAGCTGTCAGCAAGTCACACAAATAAATAAATCGCGATACAAGGCACAGCAGCCAGACATCACTAACATCGGATTAACATCGGCGGCCAGGAAACCCGACAACGAGACACGGGATACCAACGGCGAGCTCACCCACCATACGTGATGCGTGCTGCCAAGATAGATGCCGGTCAAAGCTCCACAGAAGGCAGACAGACACGACTACCCAGAGGCAGCAAGCTGCGCTGCCCCGCCCCCCCCCCCCCCCCCTTCTCTCTCTCTCTTCCCGCTTTCTTTATTTTCGCAAGGAGCGAGCGCTGTCGATAGCATGGCGTCCACTGCGACAATCATTCGTCGATCAAACGAACACTACAACAATGCACCACTTCATCGCTCATCGTTAGAGGATGCAACGCTCGTATATGTGTGTTTAGTATGATTTCGTCTCATTTATGCCTTCTATTCTGGCGTCAGTCTACACCACCTTTCGGAATTAAACTCGACTTACGTACCAGCTGAGGTCACACTGGGGAACTTTTTCTTTCTTATTTCCCATCTTTCTCACACCCCCTGCGGTGCTTTTGCCCCGAAGAAAAAAACAAAAAATGCTTGAAAAATTACGTGTCAAGACTTCTTCTCGCCCTTGTCGGCCGAGCTTTTGCCCCTCTTCTTCTCCTCCTCCGTCAGCCGCGTCTGCAGGGCCCCCTTCAGCTGCGCCCTTCTCGCGCCCGTGATGGCCGACCTGGCCGGCTTCCCCTTATCCTGAGCGGCGGCCCAGCGGGGGTTGTTCTGCCGCATGGCGTCGGTGGTGGACCTCAGGAGAGAGGCGTAGCAGGGCTCGGCGCGACGCTCTTTCCTTATCTGGGCGTCGAGAAAGGCCAGGTCGTCGTCATCGTCATCGTCGCCGCCGTTGTCGCGGCCGGCATCCTTCTTGGTGATCGTGCCGCCCCCACCCGCCGCCGCCTTCGCCCCTGCCCCCGCCTTACCTCCTGCTGGTTTTCTTTTGCCCTTCTTGGAGCTTGATCCGCCTTTCTTCGAAGAACCCTTCTTCCCTCCGCTGCCGCCACCGTTCGGGAGGTCCACTGCGAATCCTCGATCATCGGCTCCCCCACCGTCCGTCGCCGCCGCCGCCGCCTTCCCCTTGCCGCCCGTTGTCCAGTTGCCCGGTGGCGGCGCAGGGGGCCGACGAGCGGCCCGCTCCGCGTGTAGGTTTGCGAGCAGGGCGTTGGTCCCCGTCAGGCTACCAGCACCGCAACTCCTAGCAACAGCAGCGCCGGGAGCGACGGCAGCCGAGGGAGACGGGGTGGCGGCCGCGCTCCTTCTTCCGACGGCCGCCGATCTCCCCGCACCCTTGGCGGTGGCCCCGCCTTCGCCTTGGAGGACAGCTCCGCCCCCGCCGCCCGCCGCCGGGGCCTCCGTTGGCGGCGCTTGTGCCCCCTGTCGCCGCTGTGGAGACCCGTCATCGTCGTCGTCGTCGTCGTCGCCGCCGCCGCCGCCGCCGCCGCCGCTATCGGCACCTCCGTCCGTGTCCGTGTCGTGTTCCGACCCAACCCCCGCGGCCAGGACCGTGAACATCGAACCGCCATCATTCGCCTCCCCTGCAACAACCGCGTCGTTCGTGCTGCTGCTACCGCCACCACCGTCGCCGTCGACGATGCCCGACGGCTCCAACCCCCTCGCCGCGGGGCCGCTGGCGTCGGCGCCGCCAAGCCTCGACAAAACCAAGACGCGCCGGGGGCCTTCGCCCACGCTGACGTGCCCCAGCCCGAGCCACTCCGCGGTCTCGTGTGCCAGCGCCCTCTGTCGCGCCGTCAGCTGTGGCGGGAGCTCGAGCCTTCCCTCGCCGTCGCCTTTCTCCTCCTCGTCGTTGTCATGCGTAGGTTCTTGCTCGGCGAACTCCTGGACCCGCCGGAGCACCTCTTCGTCCGACAACTTTTCTTCCTCCCCCTCCTCCCCGTACTTCTTGCCCTTTCTTCCGGCAACGCCGCCGGCCGCTGTTCTGCCGACAGCTGCCACCGCCGCCGCCGCCGCCGCCACCGAAGACTCCGCAAAATCGCCGCAGGTTTCCGGCGTCAGTTCGAGAGCGCTCCGGTACTCCCCCCTGTCCTCGACGTGCCTCAGGAGGCGGCCGATGAACGGGTCCGACCCGCAGCACTCGGCGTCGCAGACTATCGCCACGTGGCGCTTGGCCCTGGTCACGGCCACGTTCAAACGCCGCGCGTCCGCGAGGAAACCCACCTTCTTTCCTGTCAAAAACAACCGCGGGGGGGGGTAGGTAGAGAGAAGCCAAGCTCAAATTCGATTGTTGCCCGCCTTGGTCTTTTCGGCCATGGACAACACGCGTGTACTTGCTGCTAATAGGCTACGTTGGTGTCATCCGCTGAGATGGCCGGCTTTCTCCAGCATCGCTTTCTACACAGCTGCTGCAAGGAACGGAGAACTTGGGGGGGGGGGGGGGGGGGGGGCCTCCCAAAATTTCGGGGGCCCGAAAAAAAAAATGGCCTGGGGTCCCCAAAAATGGTTGTTTTT